ATCGTCTATCAGCTAGTGTAGTTTGGAGTTTCACCGCTGTGATTGTGCCAGTTTGGGGTACATCAGTCCTGAGGTACAGGGTGTCGGCTAGTTCAAACGCTGACTGGCCTGCCCAACTGCACAGCCTAAGCCCCTGCCCTTTGTGCGCCTAGCGCTTTGTGCAGTCTCAGCAGTTTCCGCTTGCCTAAGCTTTCTGCACAGCTCTCCTGGGATGGCTCCTTCAGATGGCCAGAAGAGAAAAATCCGCTCGTTAATCACCATAACGATCAGGCTGCAAGTCCCTGGGTGACTCTGCTATTCAGGATCTCAGCACCTGTCCTTCCCCCCATATTTGAAAATAGAAAACCCCTTCCAGCGCATCCCCCCTGGGGATATGAACGTGGACACGGTTACACACAGGCTCCCAGTGCATGTGGTGAGCTGGCTTATTAGCCGGCTCCTTGCATGCCCTAGCTCCTGGGGAAGCAACTGCTCTCCCTTGTGAATGTAAATTTCATCGGTTACACATTTACTTAATTAACTGCATTTTAACATCCCCGATCACACCCATGCTGTACCGCGGGTGTATACTCTGACCTGCTCTGCAAAGAAGGCTCAGCAAAGCCATTCACAGCACAAAGCAGCAGATCAGAGAGAGGATCATCTCCTCTTAATACCTACAGTGTTGATTGTGTAGGTCGGGGAGGGGACCCTTTTTGGGGGGCCCTCGAGTGAGAAGGGGAAAGACACTCCCCACAATCCCCTCACACACCAGAGCCTGGGTGGGGGCTAGCCTAGTAGATTTTATGTGCTTCAGCCCAGCGAGGCTACAGTAGGGGGGCTGGAGTGCCAGCGTGGGCTCCCCAATGCCTGGGGACCAGATCCTGGCAAGCCGAGGGCTGCATCTGGCCCCGGGCCTTAGGTTCCCCACCTTCTGGTGTAGGCCCTGCCTTGTGCCAGTGAAAAAGCAGTTCAGCTGCTGGTAATGCTGGATCGGACCTTGCCTCTCTGTGTTCTTGCACCCGTGGGCCTTTCTCTGCCCAGGGAGCTGAGAGAGGGAACTGACTAGTGTGGAGGGAGGTGGGAGGAATACTTGAGAGTAATCTCTCTCTTAAAAAAAAAAAAAAATTCTGCAGAAAGTACCAACTTGCTTGGGGGTTTCCCACCTGTAAATCCACTTTCCCCGCCTCCGAGAAGGAGCCCGTGTCTGCACCCCGTGGAATGTGGATGGAAGGAGAAGAGCTGATCGACCAGAGGTCGAGTTGGAGGGCAGGACTGCCTTAGCCCTGCAAGCCGTCCCTGCCACTTGGGGAAGGCGCAGGGTATGGTCTTCGTGTGTTGGCCTCCATTCCGTCGGAACCCAGCAGAAAGAGACCACACTGCGGCCGTCGCGGCCTTGCTTCTGGATAGGAGAATTTGTTCATTCCCCTGGAGGCATGATCACCTGGTAGCTTTGCATCGTCCACCCTGCCTGTGCACTGCCCACTCAACTGGGCATGTCATGTACCCTGCTACTCCTCCCCTCCTTTCCCCAGGAAAAACGCTGTAGCCCATTCTCACTCCCTTCTGCCCCCATCCTCCGAAATCACACCCATCCTGCCCACCTCACGGTGTAGCTGGGAAGCGAACGCCTGACCGGAATACTGCATGTCGTGGGGAAGTGTTGCTGTGTTAGGATCCTGTGAGCGTGGGCTGTGCTGGCCCGTTGCTTGATAGGGGATGGGGCAGCCTTGTGTTTTGCAGGCAGATGCGTGTTGCAAAAAGGAACCTGATGACAACCCTGTATTGGAATGTACAGTAGCCTGAGGTCTAGTCTGACCCGTCCCGGAACATATGCCACCCCCCCTTGGATGACTTTGTCCTGTGTTGTCTTGTTAGAAAACTCGTCAGAAGACTAAAAATATCCCCTGCAGCCCACAGGCGCGAGGATGGGAACCAACCCACGTGCAAAATCACGGCTCAAGAAAAATGTCCACAAGATCCGCTGCCCCGGAGACAATTCAGTGAGGGCCTGGATCCGGGCCTGCTCCCAGCTGCGGGGGCAGAACTGGGTCCAGGCGCTGGGGCAAGCATAGGCTGGTAGCCTCGCAGAGAGGAAATGGGCGTAGATTTGGGTCCCAGAGGAGACTTCTGTAGCGGGTTTTCAGACGATGGGTCGCAACCCAGGGCTGGGGCGTGGAATGTGGGGGTCCTGGGGATCATTGCTGCAGGGGGATCAGGTGAGCCGTGGGGGGGAGGGGGGCTAAGGCAGCTCCCTGCCTGTCCTGGCACAATTCGGACTGCGCTGTGCCCCAGAAGCAGCCGGCAGCAGGCCTGACTCTTAAGTGTGTGGGGGGGTAAGTGCTCAGGGCTCCGTGCACTGTCCCTGCCCCCAGCACTAGCTCTGCACTCCCATTGGCTGGGACTGCAGGGGGATCAGGTGAGCCGTGGGGGGGAGGGGGGCTAAGGCAGCTCCCTGCCTGTCCTGGCACAATTCGGACTGCGCTGTGCCCCAGAAGCAGCCGGCAGCAGGCCTGACTCTTAAGTGTGTGGGGGGGTAAGTGCTCAGGGCTCCGTGCACTGTCCCTGCCCCCAGCACTAGCTCTGCACTCCCATTGGCTGGGAAACTGCTGGCAGCTGATCCTGGAGTGTAACATGATCTGCTCTGCTGATTAGGAGTCACTCAAGGTAAGCCCCTCCTCCCCCAGCCCTAATCCTCCTAAATCCAGAGCTCCCTCCTCTGCCAGCTGCTTCTGGGGACAGCATGGTCTGCGGGGCCAGGAGGGGCAGGAAGCTGCCTTAGCCCCCCACTGCACCACCGACTGGGAGCCAATCAAGGCAAGCCCTTCCTGCCCCAGCCCTGACACTCCTCAGAGCGCCCCCCCATGCCCCAAAGCTCTCAGCCCCACTCCAGAGCCCATGCTCCAGTCACATTCTGGTGGGTCACAATTTTCTTCACCTGCGAACAAAAGTTTGCAGACCGTAGGCCACTGCCCAGCGTACGATGTACCGAGGTTCGCCTGCCGCTGCTTGCTCACTTCCCCAGAGGGCAAGCGGGACGAGGAGAGTGACCACAGGATGCAGCCTGTCGTGCGATGCTCTGATCACGCCCCATCTTGTTCGCTAGTGGCTTTCCTTCACATTCAAGGCGGCTACATGCCTTGGGCTGTGCTTTGGAGGCAGTGTGACCTAGTGGTCTGGGAATGGGAAGGCTTGCTTTCCGTTCCCACTGACCAACATTGAGACTTTCACAGGATGCTTTTTCCTTTCCCTCCCACTCCACAGTCTCATTAAACAAGGCAAATACGAACACTTCAGGGGAAGGACTGTCTTCTCCTGCGGGATTTGTACAGTGTCTCACACAACAGGGCCTCAATTTCAATTGGGTGCTGATGCAATGCTGGGAATAGATTGAAATAACTCCTGCTGTCTGCGTTTCCATGGAGATTATATGTACCCTGGCTTGACCATAGGAGTAATGGGGTTGGTTTAGGAGGTATCGAGGCCATGTACTATTCTTATTCTATATCATTGAAGCAGTTAACCCATTAAACATTATGTTTAACCAGTTAACTGCTTAAACGGGGGTGATTTGGGGGGCTACTTCAGCCCACCGGTTAACTATAAGCAGTAAGCATCACCCAGTAAAGATGATGATTACCGGTTAACCATTCACACCCTTAATCACTATACCCATATAAGAGGGCATGTCCCTGCTCCAAAGAGTTGTGATCTGTAGAGACCATCTTCTCTAAGACAAAAAGTAGGATGGGGAAGGGATTTGGCCCAAGAAAATTGTATCTTAAATTAGGGGTGTAATAGTGTAGTCGATTAACTGATTAACAGATAAGCTAAGCCTTAATACTATAGACTACACGATTAATGCTAATGCTACACAATTCCCCTCCCCCCCCCCCCCCCCGCCCCCCCCCTGCCATACTATGACTCCCCTTTTTTTAGCAGGCTGGCCAGCAGCCCAGCTCAGTCCTGGCTTGCAACAGGTCCAGGACCTACCCCTGCTGCAGCTATGCATTTAAAGTGTATTAGGAGCCGGGCGGGCAGGCAGCCTTGCTCAGTTCTAGCTCACGTCGGGTCCGGGAGCTCAGATCTCTCCCCCATCCCAGACCAGGGCTGCTGCCACCCTGTGCTGCTGCCGCTGATACAGAGGCAGCAGTGCGGAGTGCCAGGGGGTACCTCGGGAGTGAGGTCAGAGTGCACTGGCTGCTGGCCCCACCCCCAGGCATTATAGAATAGTCAAGTAACCAAAAAGAATTCACGAGGTTTATCGACTGTTCAGTTAACCGATATTTAACATCCCTATCTTAACTATTTATTTTTAGTTCCTACATGTGCTAGCAAAAATATGCCAAACCTTTGACTATACCGAATGATGAACTCCAGGGAGCACAGACCTCGTGTCCATTAAGTATTCTCATGGGCTAGCAATTTCTGACTTTGTGGATAATATATCGAGGGATTATATTACATTTAAATAACATAGTTATACTACTTAATATAATATGGTATAATAATAATGTAGAGATTTTTCTACCAAATCTTTAGAAGGCAAAGGGTCCTAAGATGGCCACAGTTGTGAGTTCCTTTCTTTTCCTTTCCTTTCCTTCTTATTTGTGCTCACCAAATCGAGAAGTCCCATGATACGCTTTATGTTCTATAGACTCGTTGCACTGGAAACTGATTTTTCTCTCCCTATCTCTTTCTCTTTAGTGTTACTCACGGCGGTGAATTGTTACAGCGTGAAAGCAGCCACCCGTGTTCAGGATGCGTTTGCAGCTGCAAAACTGTTGGCTCTTGCTTTAATCATCATTCTTGGCTTTGTGCAGCTTGGAACAAGTGAGTATCTCTCCTATTTTGCTGAGGAAGAGCGAGCAGGCAGGCGGTTAGAGCAGGGGAATGGAAATTCAAATTCCTGGATTCTTCTAGCTCGGCCGCTTATTGCGTGATCTAAGTGGGGTGAGGGGTTATGTCAATAGATGTAATCAGTAATGCACATACAACTCTTCTTTGAGACCGGTAATTATGTTCTATGATGCAACCTTAACTGAATTCCTTCCAGTATCTTTAAAAACAAACACACCAGCCCAGGTACTAAGCAGTTGTACCTTCACACCTGGATTTTTAAAGGATCAGGATAGATTCTTTCCTCCTTTCCATCGTTCTCAATGTGACTGAATTAGTTTTCTTGCCAAATAGCTGATAGGGGAACTGCTTATATTCTTGCCCTGGGGAAGATCAGGGGTTGATTCTGCCAGTCGTGGAACAAAATTTTTGTCTTACTACATCGTGAAATCGCAGTCACCGTATCGTCTCAACACAATGCATCACAATGACTCCGTTTAGCCTTGTTGTGATGCTAAAAAATACATGCAGTAATTTTTGTATTGTCCTGAGGAGTTCTAGTAGTCCAAAGTCTTTTAAACCCTTCCACAAGGGTTAGCGCCCCCCGTTGGACAGATCATAGAACACTAGAACTGGAAGGGACCTTGAGAGGTCATCGAGTCCACTGCCCTGCCCTCATTGCAGGACGAAGCGCTGTCTAAATCAGCCTGGGCAAAGTATGGCCCACGGGCTGGATTTGGCCCACCAAGCCTCTAGATCTGGCCAGCAGAGGCAGTGGAGAGCCCCAGGCAGGCTCCCCTGCTTGCCCCGCTGCCTCCCATGTAGCTGTGGGGCACTTTCTCTTTGAGTCCAGAGGGGAAGGTTTAGACACTGCTCCCACCCCCAGCACAATCCCATTGGCTGGTTTCTGGACAGACACTAGCTAGTGAGACCTGCCTGTTTGAATAACAGGCAGCCACAAAGCACACCTTCCTGCTCACTCACTCAAGCACATGGCCAAGCAGGCAGAAACATTTTAAGCTCTGCAAGTCTTTAGCTCCGCAGGCAGGCAGGCTAGTAAGTTTCCTGGCGAGAACCTGCCTCTGGCACCTCAGCCTCTCCCTTCCCCGACCCTCTGCCCCACACTCCTGCCCCATTACTCCCCAACCTCCCAGACCTGGCACCCCAACCTCCCAGACCTGGCACCCCAATCTCCTGCCCAAGTCACAATCCCCTCCTACCCTAGGTCATGTCCCAAAACCCTGCACCCCAATTCCATGCCCTAGGTCAGGGCTGGTCCTAACCAATTGGTGGCCCCGAGCAAAAAAAAATTTGTTGAGCAAACAAAAAAAAAACCACCTGGGGAAAATTGGTCGAGGGCAGGGAAAGGTCGGGGGAGAATTCAGGAGTTTGGACCAAAATGCAGCTCGCCCGTCCCTAAGGCCAGCTCTGCCCTAGGTCACAAACTACCTCTTTCACCCAAACTCCCTCCCAGACTCCATTCTCCCTCCTGCACCCTAATCCTTTACCCCGAGCTCCTTTCTGCACCCCCAGACCGCACATCACCTCCGTTAATACCATGGAAGAGAGTGCAGCCCTCAACCACTTTCCAAAATCTTGGGAGCGTCCCCCCCCATCAAAAATTATTGCCCACCCCTGAGTTAGATGATCTTAGACGGTTCTGACTGTTTGCTGGCTCAGAAAGAGTTCAGTCAGCCTTTTTATGCCAAAATCCCTTTGGTTGTCTGTTGGTCCCTGGACAATCCGGTCTGAATCTGTTCTAGGCAAGTCTTCTCCGGTGGTGGCATCTCTCTGCAGGCGTTTGCAGCCTGAGTGATTTGCCTTAATTGCCTTCCACTGTGTTTAGTTCTAGACAGAGGCTGTGGTAACCCTCTCCTCCTCCCCCCCACCCCACAATATGATCCCTGGCCCACAATGGTGCATTAATCATTCGTATCAGGCCCACATGCAGGAATTTCTATAAAATGTAGCCAGCAGAAACTTCTACGTAGGAAGGTCAGGGGCTTCAGCGGAGCTACTGAGCATGCTCAGTAACCCTAAATTCTCCCCACGGAGCACAGTTCTATAGGAAGCAGCTCTGCACAAGCCACCGGCTGGGGGAAGGCAGGAGGAGTGTGCTACCCGAGCTCCCTTCCCCATGATCCAGCCGACTGGGACTGATTCCCCCTCCTGCCCCAGGGGCAAGGCCTAGCCCCAGCCCCTGCCCCTGCCCCAGCCTTGCTCCTGGGAAGGAGGGGAGATCAGCCCCAGCCTTTCCCCGGCCGGCTGGAGCACAGTTATTTGGGGGAACATGGGATGGGGGGAGGTGCATTCACACCCTTCGCACCCCCTTGCATATGGGCCTGCACATGGTCCCTGAACACAGCTATGGCAACCCCACATGCTGCCCCAGGGTTGGCCTGAGCACATCTGTCCTCTGGCAGCCAGGAAGCTCTGTTTCCAACAGGGTCATGCTCATTCATTGAGAGCTAATCCGTGCCCTTATCTCTGCTGTTGGCCGTGGGTTATGAACTGCACACTAGAGCGGCAGATGTGACCGCTGTGTGCTGCACCAGCCAGCTATTGACAATCCTCCCTGCGTATTCAGCACCCCTCCGTATGCAGGACAGAAATCGGACCCCCCTGCCCCCTACAATGCTGGCTGCTGCAGGTTTTCACCAACGGAGACGGACCATTGTAAGTGGTCAGATTGTGCCCTCTATTGACCGCTGAAAACAGACCAGCAGGCAGGTGACAACCACAACAGAGAGGGAGCCTTTACTACTGGAAGTTGTGTGCAGGGCTCCTTTTCCTACAGGGGCTGAGCTTGTAGCTTCTGCAACACACTCAGGCCAGGCTACAGGAAACATTGCGTAAAGTTTGCCCACTTCCTGGCGAATCTAAAATCAAGTAGATTTCTTTTTTTGGCAGAGGTATAACGTGTGAGGTTGGGGGAACCAGGCAGCTGTGTTCGTTGATGCCTGTTGCTCCGAGGAGAGCTATGTCATTACTCTTGTGTGTCTTCCGTGTAACTGTTTAGTGGGTTGCTGTCTGTTTCCTCGCAGTGTCTGCATCATCAGAAACACCCCCCAATTGTCATTATCTTTCCAGAACTGTCTGT